TCATCATTATGCACAAACAAAACCATTGACATCAAATATATGAAGAAAATGCTTAGTTCCAGTTCATTCAAATGCGTGTGGACCCTGTGCTCACTACCGAAGGCTTCATCATCGTTTATAATTTATTTATGTTGTTTAGTTTGTATTTAAGATGAGATGAGTTTGACGTTGTCGGTTTGAGAGAATGAATGACATTTCAATAGTAAAGAGTTTAAGTCATAAAAAATAAATATGGAAGAGAGATAATCGATAATTTATATTGAATAAAGAGTGTGTTAAGAAGTCAAATATGTACTAAAAAGGAAATTCGATTATAGATTATAAATAAATAAAATTTGTTAGTCTTTTGTGTCTTTCAATTGAACAATTAAATAAATTACATAAAAAAAATTCTTCATAAATAGTAAGTGCGTAGGTAATTTGAATTTATAGATGGATTACCGATGATTAAAACTTTATTTGTAAAGTTTTGTTGATAAATTTTATCAATGAATAAAAATTTTATAAATAATTATTCACGATAGCAAATTTGATAATAAATATTTATAGTAATTATTAACCTACAATAATAGTTAGTAAAATTTCTGAAATATTATAATAGTTAATAAAATTTCTCAAATATTGTGATTTAATTTTACTGTAATATCCGTTTACTCCTTTTCTTTCTATTTTTCTCTTTTTTTTCTTTTTCAACTTCAATCATATTGTGATCAAGTGTCATTGTATCTTGTTCTTATTATCTTGTTCTTTTTCTTTCTTCTTCTTCTCTTCTCTTTTTCACTCATCTCCTTTAACATATACAAAAAATTCACTATACTTAAAAAAAATATATTTTTCAAATGAATTTATTAATAAAAAAATTCATCGGTAATAAAAACTAAAATTATTTGACGAAATTTATTTATAAAATTTATTATTGAATATATTTTAAGAAAAAATATTCATTAATATTAAAAATTTGAGTTTACTAATGAGTCATAGTGATAATTTTATTACTAACAAAATAATTTGTAAACAATTAAAATTTATTGATAAATTTTACTGATATATTTATTTTTATTAATAAAAATATGTGGATAATTAAAAGAAAAATTGTAGTAGACGGATTCACTTCTTATAGCTATCTTTTGCTGTAAAAAATTTACTACAAATCCAAAATGTAGAACAAATATATATATATATATATATATATATATATATATATATATTTTATATGCTATGTTTTTGTTGAAGTTGGTCACAAGGTTAATTTTTCAGCCTGCTAAAGGTAATATTTTTATTTTATTAATCGAGTGATTGAGATGATATTTTTATCAAAAAGACGAAATAATGAAGGTGAAACAGTTTAAAGTAAAACATCATTCTGAAAAAAATTTAAATAATATTAGTAAAATTTAGGCTATAATTAAGTCATTAATAACAAAAAAAGTCGTTATAAAATTATAAATAGATGTTTAAAGGTAAAATGATAGGTTAAATATTAATTAAACATTTATTATCTTTATATTTATACTAAACTGATTTAAACATCAGAAGTAAGAAGTATTCAAAAAATGGATCATTAGAAAGAGTTTGATCAATTCTATTTATCTATCTATCTATATATATATATATATATATATATATATATATATATGGCACATATATGGAAAGTTGAAAATGAAGGAAAAAGTTAATGAAAGACAAACAGTTGCACAATAATCTCTTTGACAGAAATTCTTAAGGAAGAATTAAGTGTTTTTTTTAACTGGAAAATATGTATAAATTATAGTTTATGTAAAAAATTTCCAACTTTACCAGTGATAATTTAAAATCATAAATATACAATAATGTTAAACAAATGTAGAATAAAGTTCTTTTAAGTTAACTAGTATGCATCTTACCTTAAATATAGTTAGTTGGGAATTGTACAACTTATACTATTATTTATAATTAACTCCAAAATATTAAATGTCATAAAAAGTACACGTGGGGAGTAGCTATGAAATTCAATGTCCTCGTGCCTCTATGCATAGGTTTGATTAAAATTTTATGTAGGATTACATCATATAAAGTTAGATTTGAATTGTAATATCACATCATTGTTTTTTAATAATTACATAAAACAAAAAAGTTTAATACTCCTGGTCCTAATATTTATAGGGATCATTCAATATTTTTTTTTCAATTTTATTCTTTTACTTAATGTGATCTAAATATTTATCATTAGAAGTAAAAATGATCATTCATATTATATCAATATTAATCTTATTAAAGATGACTTGAGAGAATAATATATGTATTTTGCTAGAGAAAAAAAAATCTATATCATTCTCTCATATCATCATGATCTAATAACATTGTTGATCTAAAGAAAGTGATCACATTATTTTTTTTAATAAATATTGTTATATAGTAAGATATTTTATCTTAAATATAATATTTATTACATAAAATATCTTAAACGGTTAAGATATTTATAAAATCACTAACCACATTTTTAGGTAAGGTGATTATTTCTTATTTTGCTTATAAATACAGTAACAGCGCCAAGGTCCAGGTTCTCTTTATGCTCTAGAGACCCTAGAATAATATTTCAGAGCAGTATCATAATTACTCTCTTGAGAGCTGAGGCTCCATAATTCATATCTGACTTGAGCGTCGGAGTATCTTTGCAGGTACCTCTCCCTCCTTTGGCGAGTATGAAGAGCAACAATTGGAAAAGAGCAAGCGTCCCAGACAGCCAGGAGCAATAAAGACACACCGGACAAATGTACACCGAAACATTTTGGCGCCCACCGTGGGGCCGAGTGCCATCCCACAGAAACCATGTGGAGTAAAAATACCGAACTTTGAGGAAAACAATAATTATTATAAATATTGAGATCAAAATAAATACTAAGTGAAAACTAAAAACAATTGAAATTAATGATTATAACTCAAGAAAATATATTTACTTTTTTCTATAACAACATGAATATATGTACCTTTTTTTCTATTACAAGATTTACTTTATTGCTCTCTTTAACATAGTTTTGTGTTTTGTTGTAGTTTACAGAGAAGGGTTGTGAAAGAGTTAAGTTTTGTGGTGAAAGTTAATGGGTGATTTTTTAGTATTTATATAGTACAAAAGATAAATAAGTATTAATTATATAACTTTTTTTTCTTTGTATTAGAGGGCTTAAGGTAATTACTATCATCATTTAAGTGAAAATATTAAAACTTTCCCCGTAATTAACACCAACAATACAACCAATGGGAGTATTTTTATTGTACATTTGAAGAACCTTGAAAATCACTGAATCAACCATTAAATATATCCAAATTTCCAAATCATAAGATTGGTTTTAAATGAGATAAATCTAAGTTAACATGCGTGACTTAATTGACAATTTAAATTAACACGGAGTGTTCATTAAAAAAACCTGTCACTTAGGTTTACTATTAAATATTATGACAAAATCTGTTTTCTATAGATGGTTTTGGCAATTTTTTATTTTTTGAAAAATGAAAAGGCATAGGGTTGTTGGAATACTTTAGTGAAACAGTTTTTTTTGTTCTTTTAAAAAGTGGACAATAATTGAGAAAGAAATGTAAATTTCAGACTTTGGAGCCGTCTCAGCAACAACCATTTTGAAAATCGAAAACAGAAAATACCTAACTTCTTGGTTTCCTATATTAAATTTATATAAATAATATGTCTACATCACAGGACCAAGTAAATAAATACTATAATAATGCTTTTTATATTGGGGTAGGAGGCGAATTTCAAACCAAAAACAATGACACCTAAAAGAGTTAGTGAATTATTTCTCATCATCATTTTCTTTTCCCTCATTCAAATCTTTCTTTTCATTAGAGTTTCGTTTTCAAAATCTCAATCAAGCTCATCAATGAAGATAGAAAAATTTTAACTTTAAAATACCTTCACTGAGTCAATCCTAATACATTTTAGAGTATTTATGATGATGCAATAAATCAAAACAACGTTTGATTTGAAGTAAATTATAGTACATTTAATAGACATAGTTAATGTATACGAGAGATTGATTTGGACATGTCTCCTTGTTTGCTTACAAGGTTCCTCTCTTGTTCCTCTTTGCGTTAAGTATTGGTCATAATCTCCTTGATTGAAGCATAGCAGTGTTTTCCACATATTAGATTTAGGTACCTTTAGATGCACCACAGTTTTCAGTTCTTTATTTTATCATTTTCTGTCCACATTCTCAGTTTTTCTTCATGCCAATTTCAGTGTCTGGCCTCAGTTTTTTTCTTAAATAATTATAGGTTTAGAAATGTAAATCATAGGGATTCTATCTACAATTGGGTCACTAGTGGGATTATTTTTCCATACACCCTCCATTTTTGAGCAAAAAAAAAAGAAATTATTGCTCTCTAAACTTACCAAAATCACTATTTATGTCCCCTTTCCCTTTTCTTTTACAGCAAAAAATATTCTTCTGTACAATTTTTTTTAAAAAACTCTTATTCTCTTTAAACTGTATTCATCTTCAGTATCATATAGATCCCATTTTTTCATCTTGGTAGTAACTCTAATTTTACACCTCCACTCCATTAATTTGTTAACTCTTTAGGTCTATTTTGTCTCCTCGGTTTTCTTCTCTGTAGAAAATATAATATTTTTTGTTATCATAGTTTCGTTTATACTTTGAATATATGTTAAATCAAAGTTAGTTATATGTATTTTCATGGATCCTACATGCGACAATGTGCATGGAAAGATATTGTGTATTGTGTGACTTGTTTTACCATTACCCAGAACTACGTTCGAAATTTTGTTTTCATGAGAGAAAGAGCAGCATGAATTAGAAGAAGAAAGAAAAGAGTTAAAACGATAGAATTGGTAGTGAGTGTGAGAGAAAATGAATTTGAATGTTTAGTGATTGTGTGGATGAAAGAGGGTAACTGAGACGGAAGTATGGAAAATGAAAAGGAGAAAAAGAGAAGAGTTTTGGTTGGGTTTGAAGAAAAAGAGAAAGAGAAAAGGGAAGTCACGTGTGTGGGAAAATGAAAGAAAAATACAAAAATATACATTATTTTCACCACTCTTTTGTGTTTACTAGTAGTAGTAACTAGAATAAATAAACAACTCTTTTCTGTTACATCCTCTCCTCATCATCAGCGCTGGAAACGCACCGTTTCACCCTCTCTTAGCGGCGCGGCTTGCCAAGCTGAAGCCGCAATCAGGGGCCGGCTATGCCAACCCAGAGTCAAACACCCTTGATTCTCTTCCACGCAGTAACCCTCGGCTGAGAACAGAGTCAACAACATGCTCGCTTGTTTGTAAGCGTTCGAGCCCAAATGCAAGGGCCTGAATCCGGCTCTGCCCAGCCGCTCCCTCCATTTCGCCAGCGGCTCGTGCCGCTCCAGTCGCGCCGGTCCCTCACAGCACACCACGTTGCAAATCTCCCTCTGCAGGTACATCTCGGCGAGACCCTTGTCCGGCTCCACCGAACATGCTTCCAGCGAGTCGAAGACGGTGGAGTAGTAGTGCAGAGCCTCCGTGAACCGCTCCAGAAACCCTTCCCCGTTGTGGTTCGCTTCCTGCTCCACAACCGTCACGATCTTTGGGTTTAGACTTCGGATCCAGCCGAGAACCGTATCGATTCCCGAACCAAGCACGCGGTGTAGCTGCATGATCGAGTTCACTGCCACCGCCTCCTTCGGACTCACCTGCAGCATCCATGGCTTCACGTCCTCCAGCCGCCACGCTGCCACTCCGCGGAACGTGAACCGCACGTTCACCGAGTGCGCCAGCTCCGCCAGTCGCGCGCCGATCTCGCGCAGTGTGTCTCGCTCGTCCGGCGAGGGAGGTCCCACGCCGGTCAGCCTCAGCGACGGCGGACCTCCCGGGCGGAGTGCTAGCGCTTGTATGAGAGCCGGCCACTGGAGCCCCTGCATCAGGTTGAAATCGATGACGTGGACGCAGTCGTGGCCGTTGAACGCTTCAAGGATCGCCTGGTTCGCAGTGAAGTGCGCGAACTTTAGGTAGGGGCAGGCCTCGTAGTAGTGGTGGTAGAGAACTTCGTTCTCGTAGGGGGAGGTTGGAAACGCTGCGCTTTGCGGAGACGAGATTCGGCGGCGTAAGGCGTCGATGAAGTAGCCGGCGACCTTCCCGATGCCGCAGGAGGTGTTCACGTGAGCTAGCAGTGCCTGCATGCTCTCGATGAGGGAGCCCGCGAATGCGAGGTCGCCACGTTGCACGGAATCCGCACACGTGATGAGCGTGTGAACGAGTCTTATCCCGGAGTCTTCTTCGACGGTGGTTACCATCCCCAGTTGGCGATTTGGATCCGTGGGCAAATCGGGTAGGTCCGAAGATAGATCGTAGGGCAACGAGACGGTTTGGTCGAGCTCGGAGAGAAGCGTGTCGACCCAGGAACCTAAACCTATGTTGGAGGGATCGTAGAGGAGTGCGTCGGAGACTACTTGAGAAATGTCCCTGGATGAGTTGACAGTGTTGATGGCGTTCTCTAAACGTTCCATATTCTCAGCCACTTGACAGAGCTCAGATGAGCGGACTTTGTAGCCCAGCCCCGCCAGCTGCCCGTCCATGTCCCTTGTCTTGCTTTCGCTGGAACTGCCGTTCATTTTGAAAGATGAAAGCAAAGCAAAGGAATTTAATTAATTAAAAACTCAATTTGGTACTGAGTGAATCAGGTTTTGTTGACATGGGGGAGAGATTTAAGTTATTCAGTGAGGAGGAGAGTGAAAAGTGAGTGATGAAAAAGAGGGAGGGAAAATAAGAGAGAGAGAAAGAGAGAGAGAGAGAGAGAGAGAGAGAGAGAGAGAGAGAGAGAGAGAGAGAGAGAGAGAGAGAGAGAGAGAGAGAGAGAGAGAGAGAGAGAGAGAGAGAGAGAGAGTGAAAGAGAAAGCGAGAAAGGGATGTGTGAGGAAATTGACGGAGAAGCTGCCTTGTATAATGTATGAGGATGATGCGTTACTAGTTTGTGTTGAGTAGCTATCCGCGGTACTAATGCATCAAATTGATAGATACCACTGCTAATATAATTTCTGCCCTTTTTTAAAAGGTACCCCTAATGTCGCGGTAACGTGCCCTCGATTTTTAGTACCCTAAAGGTGCCAACCTGCCCTACATGCTCTGCTCTGCTCTTCCCACTCTCGTCTTTGGATTTGGGTGGGTTATTCAGGCCAACATAAACAGCTGATACCCTTTTATCATTACCAAGCTCCCATGCTTGCTAACCGGGTATAACTCTAGATTCATTTCCATCACTTTACACTTTAAAATTGGATTCCCTGTATTTATTTTAAGAAGCTTTATATTAGATTTTGTATTTTTGTAGTTTTTTAAGTGCTATCTTTATTTTAGAAGTATACAAATTTAATACACAGTCTTTTGTATAATGTAATATTTATTTGTAATAAATTTATTTACTATAAAATGTAATATAATATAATTGTTATTTCTTTATTATTTATTTATACAAAATATTATAATTAATATATTTGTATTAAAAAGTTGGACTGGTCAGATTCTGTTTCATTTATTATTATTTTTTTAGTCCTTACATGGGAATTGAATGCTATGCTTTACTAATATATATATATATATATATATATATATATATTTCTAACCTATTGAACTGTTTTAGTGTGCTGTAACTGTTATAGGCTATTATTACTTAAAAAATTTATATTATGATTAATCAATCAAATAAATGATTAAGAGGATACCTTTTTTTTAATTTTGTTAACCAGCGAAAAACAGATTCAAACCAAGTAACAAAACTAATTAAAGATTTGGCTTATGCCCTTCAATGTAGCCAGCACTAGTTCCTCACTATTATAAAAGAAAGTACATATGAACTCCAGTAGTACAGGGAGACAATTAAAATTTTTAGTTAATACATCATGTGGTTCTTAGTACACTCAAGTAAAAAAGAAAGGTAATGTCTGCAAAAAATGTATACAGTTTCTTTCTATATTTTCTTCATTCACTTATTGTATAGTATTAGGACCCCAATTATTCAGTTTCCTCATCCATCAAAACCAGATAGGAGAAATGTGGGGTGGTATGTGGCCATGAAAAAATCTACAGAAGCTAAATGTAGGTATACTGCTCAAACTATTAAGTCAAATCCAGGACTGGATGGAATAGTTGCATTTGAAGGAGTTCACTCCACTGATATGAGCAAAAATATCTGAGGAATCAACCATATCATCTTCATCCTTCACAACTACCTGCAGGTTTAAAAAACTAATCAACAAATAATTGAGAAGGTACAAATGAAAAAGATTTTCTTGATTTTAACTCGGGCAGGTTGAATGAAAAGAGCCCTGTTAAGTGTTTAATAAACCAATAAGCCTTGGAAATCTTACTTCTTCTTCGTCATCATCTTCATGATTGCTACTAGTAGTTCTATTGGTTTCTCCAAAGTCATCATTCTTTGCAAACCTTCCTCGAACCCGAGGTCGGCTATCTGCCAGAGTTTTGCGGCAGGCATACTGCACATTTGGTTGCATCATTAGTTGAACTTGGAAGTATGCAATATGAAGTGGTTTATAAGCAAGGAGTACCTTGCATATATATGCAAATGTAACATCATGAGATTTTAATTTTGTTTGATGATGAGGCTGTTTTGAAGACGGAAAGGAGCTTGAGCGTACCTTAATTTTCTTGCTGAAGTTTCTTTCATTTCTTTTCTTCATGTATCTATTGATCTTTTCTTTCCTTTGCTCAACAGAAAGTTTTCCAACCTTGAATGAGGAGTCCTCTAAGTTAGAGATTTCAGGTGTTAGAGTGGCAGAACTACCACCCCCGGGAACTAGTTGCTGGCTCTCAGTACCAAGTGCCTAGGAAATAAATTACAAACAAAATCAGTTACTTTCTTGCTCAGCGAAAAGGAAATTGGTCATCGCAAACTATCATTAACTTGGTTAGAGGTTCCGGAAAACGATATGCTAAAAGAGCCACTCATGAAGTGGGTCTTTACTGATGGTGGTTCTGCTTGTTATCAATTTTTGTGGAAAGTTGCCATTCCATTTTGACTCGTGCTACTAACTAGCGCAGAATTTATGCTACTTTATACAGGTGAGAATGAGATTATAAAGGGGTTGATATGCTAGCTACTGTTTTGATGGATATGGGCATATATTCTACGGGGCATACAGCTTCTTAGAAATTTTTGGGCCATTATCGTTCGCAAACTTTTCACCTCCTGTAAAACCTCTCTTTATTGTCAAGAACCTTACTGCTGCGACCTTTCGGACTAGAAACCTGAAAGAGCAAGCTTATAACAGCAACTTAGCATTAAAAATAAATAAATAAAAATCCTTGACCAATTGACTTCTTTTTCTGTCATTTCTGAGCACCGAACACTTTTTATTTGGATGGCAGTTAACAAAAGGCAATGACGGAGAATTTAACTACAGTAGTTTGAAAATCATACATACCTGAAGGTCTGGAGGGTTAAACGCCCGCTGAATTGAATCTGTACAATACATTCTTCCATTTTCTCCTTGGTATTCCAATTCTTGTGTCTGAAGTTCAGAACCAAGAAGAATGTTCCCACCAAAATATCCAGAACTATCCGTTGATAAGGCGCTAGTAAGGGGGCCGGTAGGCATGTATGGTGGCATGCCAGGACTGAGATAAGTGCAAGGAGATGAAGGGTTGAGAGGCACATAAGAAGAAACAGAAGATATGCAATCCTCTTCAAATACAGAAGGTAATGGAGCCCCCATAAGTGGAGGTGCAACGGGGTCAGTGGGATACTGAGAGAAGCCCTCCACAACTGAAAATGCTGGTAATTGGACCTGAGGCTGCACATAAGAGAAATCAAACTGTTCTTGCTGGGATGTGACTGGGAGAAATGGAGGAACATTGAAAGATGGAGATAGTGAGAAGTCTATGGAGGCAGCGATGTCATTATTGTCCATTTCATCTTGGGGGTCTAAGATAATAGACAGGTTACTACTGTTGGTTGTGTTGTTGTTGTTGGTGGTGGTAATGCTAGTTGGCGTGGTGACTGTGTTGCTATTGCTATTCAATTTATTTTCTACATCTACAGTTAAAGATTTGTTTGTTGTGGCATACGAGGAGTTCTCCTCATAGCAACAGTTTGAGCTGGAAGTAACCTCAGAATTTGGCAAAGCCTCTGGGAAAAATTCTGCGTTACAAAATTCGAAAATTCGAGCACTACTAAAAGGGCTTGAAATTTCTTCCTGCAGCAAGTGATGTAAATACAATCTAAGCATCATGACTACCAAAAGAAACTACTGAATACATTGATAACAACATTTAAATAGACCCTTTATAAACAGTTAGAAGACTCGTTTCTATCAACAAAGGAGGAATCGGGATCAAGCGTATAATGATCAGAGTCTGAACTTTCAAAAAGATAATATTCTCTTGTTAGAATCGGTCTAAACTTTGGTTTAATGCATGTCTTCATCAAATAGTGAGCATTCTGAATTGAGTAAGTAACACGCGTCCAAGCATCAGTTATGTTCATCATCACTCTTTGTCTAGAAATAAATTAAATATATCATGTATACCCTACAATGAAGAACTCCTAATACAGATTTAGTTGGTTGTGCCATCTAGTGAGTTGGGTTTATATTTGGTCATGTGCAGATAATAAGTTCTACATAAGGGTTGTTTCTTTTGGAACATGAAAAAGATGGGCATTTATGTTACATTTATGTCAGTAACAAAGAAGGAACCTCATCCCATGATACGTTGTGTTTGTTCGATGTATGGAAACTGATTTAATGGAGATTAAAAGGCATTTAAAAGGAACCCATAATGCTACATGTGAACTGTTCCTTAAGTCCACTCTCCCTCTCAAACTGAATAAGAATATCAACATTGGCAAATGGACAAGCACAGGCAGGTATGTGTGTGTGTGTGTGTATTCCACAATAATTGAAAGCTACGTTTAAATGGGTATCACACTGCAAATCATGCAGAAATTGTTATCACTTTGCAGTTTACGATGTTGTCCTCAGAAAATGAGATATTGGTGAATTGTATTATCTGGGATTTGATAGGATAATATTAAAAAAAGGATAAAGCCTAATAATTATTGCGGAATCTCTAAGTTTTTTTTTTCTTATTGCTTGTTAATAAGCATTATGCTCCCCAACTATATAAATGGAGAGAAAAAAACACATTTGAGAATGATAGGTTCTAGATGTCTGAAATAGCAAATGATGTGTTGTATTCTAGCTTTAATTTTATTAGCAGTGGGAAATAACATATGAAAGTTGCAAGAAACAGAAAGAAAGAAGCGATGATATGATTGATGCATGCATTATGATGGGAGGTTATTTGGAGTGGGTGGAGGTGTTTACAATGGGGACTTGCTGTTGCGGTTCGGCCTTTGGTGGAAGTGGCTGATCAAAAACATCCTGCAACATGGTGTATCCCCTGGCAAGAGGTAATGAAGCCAGCCCAGAAAGTTAAGAAAATAGAAAATGTAGACAAAAAGGTATATGTGGAGGGAGAGATGGTACATATATAATTGTACTAAGAAGTGGAAAATGTTGGAAAATTGTATTGTGAGACACGTGTGTCGGAGAGTAAAACATGTGCAGAAGGAGATCCCATAGGGAAGAGGGAAGAAGGGAGAGAGAGAGAGAGAGAGAGAGAGAAAGAGGGGGAAGTTATGTGATGAGTGGTTAGTTAGCTAGGATGATGGAGAGTATGAGGGTGTCAAAGACTGAAAGAATTAGTTATGTTGATATATAGGGCCATTGGGTTGTCCCTTTAGGCGTCAGCCTGGCGTCAACGCGAGACATACGCTGGCCCATTCATTCATTCACTGCAACCCCCTTCCCACTCTCTCCTTTCCTCACTTGGATTTTCTGTTGACCAAGCCTTTCCCACACTCTCTCTTTCTTTATATTCTTTTTCTAATTTTCTTATTACTAATTCTTCCTTATTTCGATTAATCACTTTTAATCTTACCATTCATATCATATAACATCTACCACCCTCATGTGCATTCTTCATTTGTCCAAACATTCCATGCATGTCAACTCAATTATTTCGTCATATTTACCCACTCTTATTTTCTTTCCACATGTTCTGTTCTTTCTCTTTTCTCCACTTCAATGTCTAATACCAGCTAATGGGACAATCATCACAACACCTCTTGCTCACCATTACAGAATCACTTGTTAATTGCCTACATTTTACATACCAAATTTAACATAAATTCGCAAACAACCATAGTATAGTTAGGTATGGGGTTTGGCATAGGTAATTCGAAATCATTGTAAATTTTTGGTTTAATGTCTCGGTAGGTCCCTATTTTCGGCGTGAATCTCAAATAGGTCCCTTTTCTTTTCGGCGTCTCAATTGGGTCCCCATTTTTGTAAAATTGTAACAATTAGGGGTCTGCCGTCAAATTGAACAAACGGCCGTTTAATTGTTTCTTACGTGTCAGATGGGAATCATGCCACGTGTCATTACTGTTCATGCCACGTAACAAACAATTAAACGGCCGTTTGTTCAATTTGACGGCAGACCCCTAATTGTTACAATTTTACAAAAATGGGGACCCAATTGAGACGCCGAAAAGAAAAGGGACCTATTTGAGATTCACGCCGAAAATAGGGACCTACCGAGACATTAAACC